TTCACAAGAGCCACCTCTTTCGCCAACGAGATTCGACGCGTTATCGATCTCGGAATTTAACGTCGCACATAAATACCAAGCGTATGTCTATATTTTCAGAACCCTTGTAAGTTTTCAATATATTTCTACGGCTTATGTGCAACTCGCGCCAAAAGTCATCTTTTGTTTTTACTGTGGGTGGATTGCAATAGATCTCTCTTCTTTCCTTCTCTCTTTGTGGCGCCTATATTGGTGGACAAATACCGATCCTATACCGTGTGTGTATGCTCGCCACGATTCTTTTTTTCTCTCTCTCTTTTTCGCATTTCGCCAAGCATGCAGGGCTCGTTCGGTGCACCGATATTTGATCAGTCGCGTGTAACGCGAATCATTCTGCAGAAATAATTTTCGCTCGTGTTGTCAAATCCTGTTAAATCTCTCTTTTTTTCATCGATGCGTAACTGCGAATAATCGAATTTGGGGAGCTTTCACGATTACTCTGAATATCACCATTTGACTTTATTGTATTATGACATATCGTAAAAAAAATTGTTATCGCTTTACACGATACGGCCAACGTTAATTAAGTGTTGGTCGAGAAAGAACGATACAAATGTGATATAAAAATTGAACTTGATATAAAAATTTGATATCACACGATATCGAGAGGGTGTATTATTATATCGAGGCATTTGTCGGTGCAACGATTTCTTTGTTCTATTCCTCTCAGAAGCGCTGGTAAAACGAAAGATGATTAAGGAAGGAAATCTTACGGAAGGAAAGAGTCTCGCGCGAGAATGGCTTCTTCTTTTCTCGGTTCTTTTCTTAATCTTCTTGCGGGTACGATTTGACATATCGTTTGATTCGATACTAATGCTTCGACTATCTTTGTATATAAGGAAAGAAATGGAGCGAAAAGGAATGAGAAAAGGGAATGAATACATTAAGATATCAGATCGCGATCCTGCTAAAATTGGCAACACTTGTGTTAAAGAGATAATCGTAAAATTGAATCCCATGCAAAACGAATTTGTTCGCGAAAATAATTCCGTGCAAATAATAGTCTAAAATTATTTTCTTACGTAATTGCAATCGAGAATATGAGCTTCATAATTTATCGAATAACGATATAAATTGCTGGATAATTAAATCGATAATTAAAAAAAAGATTAATAACAAGATAATTTTATTTTAATAAAAGATTTATGATCTCGCATAAATTTGTTTTTTAATTAAAGCATTCAAGTACATGCCAGAGAGAGATTTGTGTTAGTTTGCGAAAGCTTTTCAACTTGATCGATCGACTTCACATCCATACTCTGAGAATTATAATTTCTTTTTCTTTCAAAAATCCAACTTTTCGAGCTTACACATTCTTTTCAGCTACAAAATTCATTTCGCAAACACGTTGTAAAGTTAATTCGTGGAAGATAGTTTAAGCATTTCCCTGTCCGGCACAACAGTAGCGGCGGATCAAGTAATACGCGTGGGACAGCGTTGGAAACTTTTCCAACAACATTTACGTACAACGATTCCGCACAAAATTTAACACACCGTTGACGACTGCGCGCGGATGGTCGCTCTCGAGAAAATTCTGTCATGGACACTCGACGGAGTGAGGAGCCTGTCAAGCTCGGAATTTTATTCTTTCTCTCCATTTCTATGGCCATTTAAAACTTGCCGATCAATCAGATGACACGTGGCACACGTTTCACGCACGCATCGAGATCCTCTAGACGAGACCGCGTTAAATTCCTTTCTTTTCCACGCGAATTTCATTCATGAATTCCGGATTAACGGAGAAAACTCGCGGACAGAATTATTTCGATCGATAAGTTGCGCAAGGCATATAAACCTGTGATTATTCTTCATTATTTTTATTTCGCTTGAAAAAAATATAAAGCGACATTTTTTATTGTATAAAGAGTAAAATTGTTAGGCTCTTATTCATTCCGATGTATGTACGACAAAGTTTCTCTTGTAGTATTTCTCACCTGACGAATCGCGTCTTATTATTTATCGAGTTATCATTTATAGGAACAGAGTGTTTGCACCTACTACTACTTGAAATTTCCCAGACTGGCCATAAATCAATCGCAATAGCCGTCTATCATTTTGATCGAGCTATCAAATACGTAGCAAAAATCATTCGCGAAGAATATATCGACGGTTTTTCTTCTACCTGTCAGCACCTGTTCCTCTCTCCTTGTTCTCTCCCTTTTCTCTCACATCCCATCTCTCGTTTTACATGGATATTCAAAGTTCGGCAATTGCAATCCAGTCACGTGATGGCCATTTTATACCAGTGGAATTCGCAAAGGCACACATCCACACGCGCACACGTACACGCGGCCACGTACAAAAGTGAACCTATAATGGACACACGTATGCAAACTGATGGAGATTACGCGTTTGTAGAAATCCCGTTTACACGTTTTACATATTGCACGAAGAATGCATATATGTAGGTACGTGATATCGCGCGTGTCTGTTTACGCGTGTAAATTCATAAGAAAAACATTCAAATATTTGACATACAATTGGCGAGCAACGCGTTCTCGGTTGAATAAACGTTAGTATAATTTGATCAAACAGAGACTGGCATGCGTACAATTTACATTTAGTAAAGATTTATCATTTTAACTAATAATTAATAAAACGAACAGATTGCGGAAAACAATTGTAAATTAATTATCGTGCTTCCGCTTGCGAGAGTCTCTCTCTCTGTGTGTGCTATATGCATCGTCGACGAAAGTATATACTTCCCTATCTCTTGGAGCTCTAAAATTGCACGAGTTTCCTCATTCAATATTCATAGATATTAAACGACTCTTCTTATCTCGTTCGCAAAACGGGCATTATATATCCCGATTCGGAGCAGCGTTCTCAAATTATCAAATATCCGCAAATTAATGGTTTCGAGTGCATTGCGTTTGATAAAATATTTATTATTATACGACTAATTACTCGATATTCGAGGATTCATTATTTTTGATCGAAAAAAATTATAATTTATTCGCCTTTCGATAAAATAATCTATAATATTATTTATACATTTTTCTCTCATTTTATAATTTAAGAAAATGCAAACTCTGCGCGCGATATTTTAACACAAAGGCAAAGAAAACGTTGACGATCATCCAAGTAAATCTGAATTTTAAACCGGGGATTTAAGTAAGGGGGACAAACGAGCCGAGCTGAAACGCGACTATCGGAAGCGCCATTACTGGTATTAATAATCGCGATTACGATGATGATGGTGGTGGTGGTATAGTGATGGTGGTGATGGTGGTGGTGGTGGTGCTTCAGCGTTCCCTCGAGAGGGAGAGAGTGACGTCGGTGTAATTGGCTCCGATAAGATAACAAAGTTCTATCACGAGCGTCCGCGACCTGTAACTGTTTGCTTCTAATTAACTGTCCGCGCCACGATCGATTTGTTTTTATTATCGTCGATTCGTGTAGACGGACGAGTCCTTCTCGGGTATCTCCTCATTTAGCCGATACTCGTTACCTTTAATTAATTACCATATCGATGTTGCAATCGTCGATTTTTATCCAAAGGCACCGCGATGCTATGTAGATATATATATATATATGTGTGTGTGTTTGCGAAACGTGAATATATAAAATGGAGAGGCACTCGTGTTGTGCTTTTTTTTATGCGCGGCTATTTTTCGCGGTGAAAAGAGATGAACATTTTTACGTTAACGAATTTTGCAAACGATGGAACGATTTAAAAATTGAACACAGCCTATATACCATATATATATATTTCCCATGGGTATTTCAATGGCTTTGAATTACAGATGTCCCTTTTTTTAAAGCGTTACAATGGTTTTCGATACAATGATTAATATCGATCCTATCTCGAAATTATTTCCTTTTGATATATATTCGCTTGAACGCCGTGATCGGGGAATAAAAAAATCGTACATTTTCACGCGTGCGTCTATCTATATTTAATTTTCTGGTAATTAGAGGAAACACGATTGGAATTATCGATGGAATTCCGGTAATATTTCTCCTTTTCGAACTATATTCGCCATCGAGAAATCGATCATGCGGTATGCGCCGCGTGAAATTCGATCCCTCGAATGGCTGCGATATTTTCCACGATAATGCTGAATATTTAGCAAGCTCAAGATTTTTTTAGTGAAACTCGTTTTATTTTAATTTTTTTTTAATTTTCGGATGAATCCCGATATAAAACGAATTGTTCAATAAATAAAACGTAAACTTTTTAACAAGAATATTATTCTGTATTACAACTCTCGATTAATTTTATTTATATATATCATCGAGACATTTTCTCAAGTTCTATTGCGCGCCCTGGATTTTAATATAACAAATATAAAACTAAAAAAAAGTAGCTATAACATTTTTCCGTCGAAACTGAGGTATGTAGCGTTCTTTCGGAAAATTTCTGTTCAATTAGCGTCAACCTACGGATTTTCTGCTAGGTAATATTGCCAACAACAGAGCAGAGATTCGATCGAGAGACAAGTCGCAGCATCGAATTACGTATCGAGTACCCGTGGATGTAACGGCATCCACAAAGATGCACAATGCACGGTGTATGTGTTGTTCGCATGTGTACACGCGATCTACGTACTTTGCCTTTAGGCATTAGACAATACCTAATGCGGGTATCTCAACGATGTACTGTTGCCGACGCCGGCGTCGTCGCGTACACCATATCTGCTTATAAACATATAACATCGCATTATTAGTAGGGAAATTAATACGCGAGATATTTTAGACGCTATTATATTAACGGATGGTTGAACACGAATCTTTTGCATAGAGGTCGTACAGATTAGGGATCGTGAAAGATTGAAAGGGAAAAATAACGAGTTTCTTTTTATATGAAATTATGTTTTTATTTTCCTCTTACTTAAATAAGAATAAAATTGTGTAAAATATATATATATATATATTTATATTTTTTTATTAAGAAAAACATCGTCATATATAATTGTGAATGTGTTGGATTCGAAGAAAATTTTTCTCGCTGCTAAATACATCATAGAACTAACTCTCTTTCACTTTGTACATATTTCGCTGTGTATATGAAAAAGTATGCCCATACTGGTTTAAATAAAGGACAAAAATGTCTCAAAACATTGTCAAATGCACACACATCATTCGAGGTATAAAGCACGTATATTTTCTGAAAAATTCATCGAAAATAATAGACTAAATAGACAGCATTCATTCATACAGCAAGATGAAAGGGGATTTACTTTCACGTCTCGATGATTATCTTGATTTATAACTTATTATACACATAAATAAACAAAATATATGTTTTTAGCAAAACTCTCATTCACACCATCAGACAAATAAAAATTTTGAAAAATTAGAAAAATTACGCACATCTTGGTGTACCTATAGTTTATATAGTTTTGCTTGTGCGATCGATACGATCGAAGATAATTGTATGTTATTAATAGAAACGGCAAAATGTAATGTTTCGGTCTTCGACTTATGAAACGTGTACGGATTCGTCGAAACAATCGTCTCGAACTAATCGATTAAATTAATTCTTGAATTTCGCGAGATTTTCATCACATTGGTGGATGCGGAGGAGGACGAAATACTGGATACCAAACCGGAACTTGAATATATTGAACGAAGCATAACGGTTGCCTTCGGGGAAAAAACTCTCTCGCGTACGGATTCAGAGGTGATATTTGTAGTTTGGGTACCTTGTTCAGATGGGCCTGTAATTCCTTCCTGTCCATTCCGTGTAAATCGGCCGCTTCCAAGTATTTCTTCCAAAGTTGTTTGCAAGAGCCAATAGTAAGCAGAGCGACTGGATCACCGACAACCACCACCAGACATTTCGCTCTCGTTAAAGCGGTATTTAACAAACGTGGATCCGTCAGGAAACCATAATCCTTAACCTTTGTCTCGGCGGAGGATCTGTAACAATGGAAAACTTGTCGATATCGGATTCCAACGTGTTACCTAAAGTGTGTTGCAACGCCTGTGGCCTATTGTAATAGCGATACCTGTCGGATGTTTTTGTCCGGACTGTACTGATAAAAACCGCGGTGAATTGTTTGCCTTGGACATTTAATACTCTTTCGACGGACACGTCGAAAAGTTGGCGTCTGCGCAACTCGATTCGCAACCGTTGCACTTGCTCGTGATAATACGATAAAACACCAATAGATCCTTCGTTGTACGGGCCCCATTCTTGCGTCGGCCAGGTATTCTTCAATTCCAAGACACGATTTGCTAATTCCTCCGCTTCCCTAACATGCTGGTATCCCGTAGAATTTGGTATCTATCAATCATAAATCGAAATCTTAAAATTTTGCATTTTTTGTTTTTTTAATGCAATCGATACATAAGTTCAAGTCAATCTTTCACAAGTAGGTGAAAGAAAATTTTTTTATCGTTTTCGCGCGTAATCTATAGACTTAGCAACTATATAATAATTTGATAATAAATCGAAATCACAACAAAGATACGCGTACTTTTTTTTCTTTCTTCATAGACAGATTGCATCGCAAACTCTAGGTTTGCTAACGTTTTTAAACAATCTACATACCTGCTCTTCCTCGCCACAAATAGCGTAGAATGTTAATGGTTTCATAGTCGGATGTTTCAGCAGGTCCGGATTGGCGGGTTTAACTATTCCTTCGTAGAACATTTCGGACGTGTATTTGATTATGTCCGCGTGCGCGCGATAGTTTTGACAAAGGTGTATCCGATACGGATGTTCCGGCGAATAAAATTCGTACATTCTCTCTAGGAGACTAACACCCAATCCTCGTTCGCTCGCTAACACGCTGTAAATCTCGGGTGCGAGTTGCATCTGATCACCTGCCAAAATCAAACGAGTATCTTGGTTCGCCAAGGTCAGAGCTATCAGCGCTTCGCACTCGATAGCTTGGGCCGCTTCGTCGATAACTATATGAGTCAGAGACAGATTCAAACTGATCAAACAGCTGGAGGTTGTTAGAGTAGTCACTATTAAACCATAATCTTCAAGATCCTTCTCGACTGGCTCGCGAAAACGACCGTGTTCGTCCATGAGGCAGTATTGTTGCACAACTTGATGTACCTGAATCGCAAAATATAAACAAATCACCATTGAGACGCAATTCTTCCCTTAATTATCGAGAGCTTAAAAGCAAAGTGTTGTTCACCTACCGTATTCAAAGCTCGCATTTTATAATATATCCTAATAGGTTTAAGTCTGGGATGTTTATCCTCTTTATACCAAACGTGGAAGAATTCCTTGATGTAAAGATCCGCTGCACTGTTGCTATGCGTACATAAAAGTATCCGGTTGTCCGGGTTTTTAACGAGCATACGCAGCACATGCGCTATGGTAAACGTCTTTCCCGTGCCGAAGGGTCCCAGTAAGAGGACCGGAGGCGAGGAAGTCTTGGTCGTGGACAATGCTATCGCGGCGACCGCTTGCTTCTGTTCTTGATTCAGTAGCTTATCCAGAAATAAACTGGAAAGAATACGAAGGTTGCCGGCATCGACTTGCATGAAGCTATGAATAATTTGGTTGTCGATCTCGCGATGCTTGTCCTTGAGGAACACAAAATCCAAATGTTCCAGACCGTCCACCGCCAAATGCCACTCGCAAAAATTGAGACGGCTCAGCACGAATCTTATTTCCACTTCGAGCTCGCTGTGCTCTTCCAATTTCCAATGGGTCACGCAGTCTTTGCTGAGTCTGACGAATATAGACTGTGAGCATTTGTTTTCTATGTGAGCTTCGAAAATCATATGCGAATTTTCGAGATCCTTGTCCCATAGCTTGATTAAAATGGTATTACAGCTACGTTGTAGAAGTCTGCCGCTCTGCGTGTCCTCCAAGATGTCCCGAGCGATTGGGAGCTGCGGTGGCAACAAATTTCACGCGTTGGCTATAATCGAAGGAGAGAAAAACGGCGGATTCTTATTCGATCTTAAAAGGGAGGAAGTGAACGTATGTAATAAGAGGGCATAATAAAAAAAGGGGGGAAGCAAAGATTCTACAGAGACGAAAAATAATCGGGGGAAGTGAAAATTAGGCGAACAATTAATAATTGAGAAACGAACAAAAGTAGTATTTTTAAATAGCAGAAAAAAAAGTCGCACCTGAGCAAAGAGTTCACCCGGCGGTGTATACTTAGCGATGGTAGAGCCGTCGCAATTAGATAATACGTATTGTGACATGAGCCGCAACCACGAGATCTGATTGTATCTCGAGAGCTGTTCGTGTCTGGCGATCTCCTCGACGGTGATCATCTCGTGCATACGACCTCGATAGTTTTGCGGCGTCAGCCGGTTATCCGACAGCGTGTCTTGCGTGAGGAAGAAATTTTGCTTGTCGGGATACGGATATATCTTCGATAATTTGATCTCTCGTAGATCGGCGTGGTTCTGCATGAAAGGCGAGTAGAATGCGTACGGATCGGGCCATCTCGATGGAATCTGCGACAGCTGATAATTCGTGGCCGTTTGTATACGCGCGTAATCCTGAATCGGCAGATAATCCGCGCAGATCCTCTGAAGGAACGTCGAGCAGCACTTGAAGCCGAAGATGACGTTTTGCCGATAAGTGCCGTATTTGCTGGCGGCGAACGCGATCGTTACCGTATAGTGTCTCTTGATCGAACGATCGACGATGTAACTCGCGCGAGGATTGTGCCATTCCTCGCCGTTCGTCACGCCGATTTCACTGCCGTTCTCTTGCACCGACTTCAGGACAAAGTTGCCGCGATAATCGTCCGATATCAAGGCCACGTTCCGCAACTGCTTGTCACCTTTGGGATTGAGAATTCACGAGCCGAGTTAAATCAAATAAATTACATCGTAAACTAAATCATCAAATTACATAATCTCTCATTTGAAAATATAATTCGTATATTAATATGATTAATCGTTCGAAATTATCATTTCGCTTATTTGATGCTCGTCTCGATAGAATAAACGAGAAGAGAAATAGAAAGAATTTCGAGTAGGGTGTCTCGTATAATTGCACGATGCTTGTTTAAATGAAAAAATAAGAAGTTTCGAAAACAAACGATAAACCACTCTACGAAAAAACTAACCTACAAACGTGCGCACATTGTACTTGAATTTCCAATTGGAAGACGACGTGTGTATATATATATATATATATATATATATACATATATATATATATATATATGTGTGTGTGTGTGTGTGTGTCGCGATCGAATATATCATTCGTCGACTCGAGGAAGGTTTTCCGATACAGGCCGGCGCGTCTGTTTGATCTACCCATAACTGAATCCTTTGACGAAATAACAACAAAGCGAAATGACAAAAGCAAGTTTACCTGTCGCGGTGATCGTGAAACGCCACTCGTAAACGCCTCTCTTACCGACGATTCTACAATTAACCCCACCATTCACATAAACATAGACGTCCGTTAAACTCTCGCACGTAAGAATCGCGTTTGGCTCGACGGCTTTGAACCACCCACGTCGCACGCGCTCGGGAAAATCCGTGAGGTACGTCGCAACTCCGTTAACCACGTCCCGGTTATTCGTCGTATCCGCCATGATGGGCGCTCGCGGTTGTTTCACGGTGAGAGTTCACGTCACGGAATCGAAACCGTCGTCCCGAGACATTCCGCACGGCCTCCAGGATCGCGGGCAACTCGAGGGTGTTTTCGGCCGAGTGTCCTCGTCACGCGAACGAAAGCCGGCACCTCGACGTCGTCCCGGTCATTCCCGTCGCCCGTCCGATCGGAGAGACATTACTCCGACTAACTGCGCTGGCGGGGTGGCGCTACCGCGCCGCCAGCGCGCATGCGCGGCGCGCAACCACACATGTGCCGAGTCCTGCAGACAGCGATGTTATCGATCGCCGCGCCCCTCTTTTCTTCCTTATCGATCGCGGGTAACGGAACTGAGTCGGTACGTCAGGATTTGACTCTTGTTTTTTTTTATTTCGAATCTCAATAATAAATATATACCTATTTAGGTACTGATTGTGAGTGTTATATTGTGTAAAAGAGAAGGAATTGTAACGAGTTTAAATAATTGATACAAGTTTTATCATTCCAAGCACGATCATATAAATATGATAATATGATATTATTATTATATTGTGATATTATTATATTATATTATATTATATTATATTATATTATTATTATATTATGATATTATATGATATGATAATATGATATCATATAAATATGATAATCATACGATCGTGATTCCAAGTGTCATACGCGGAGCTGCTTTTTTTATTTATTTAAAAAAAGAGAATAATCGAGCGGTAAGCGACGAGTTTTCCGCGAAGACATTAAAATTAAAGTTTAGGAATAATTTTCTTTCGCAAAGTTGAAAGTCCTTTTTTTTTATTGCGATACAAAGTCGCATCTGTAGTTTGCGCGAAGTAACTTTGCATAACGATACATTTTCATGCAAATCCTCCGTGGTTCCCGTAGAACCATCGGAAGTGACTAAATGACGATCGCCATTATTCTCGCGAGAGTTTCGCCCGAGAGGAGCTCAAGAGGATCTGAAAAAGGGTGGCAGAGGGATAAGAGCGATAGGTTGATAGCATCCACATTGTCGCGTCGCATCGCATTGAAAGCTTTCCAACCGAGGACCGATTTGCGTCAATGATGAATTTGGCAAATGCAAAACCACGAGTGTGCGCGCACATTCGTTTTTCAATTATTAAATATAATTTAATATTGTCGTACAGGTATGATATAAATAAGTAAAATAAGTAATTAGAAAACAAAGTAGCAGAGGCGTAAAATATAGAAGCGCATGAGAATTTTTTAAAATATGATATTTGCACAGAAATGTGGCTGTAATGTTTTTTTTTTTTTCAGCGACTCTTGTCATTTTTGCATCAAACGCAGGTTTTAAAACACGCTGCCAGATCCGCGACTGTCTCGCGCATCGCATTGTTCCGTATGCACCGAGAGCTATTCCATTTGCGCGGGTGACGCGGACGGAGAAAAACAGCCGAGAGTATCGTGGAAACTGACCGGAGGCGGCGACGGCGGCAAATACGGCACAAAGCGCACGCCCGCGTCCGTTGTTCATGAAAAATGAGAAAGAAGAGATTAAAGTACCTGCAGGAAGAAAGAAAAAGAGATATCCTTTTCGAAAGAGAGAAATACACAACGCGATCCTTTTGCGAGCGAATTTAACTCTGAGAACGCCGCGTACTCTAATAATAATTACGTTAAAATTTTTATACGACCGACACATATATATATATATATTTCGCCTCGGTTGTCTTCTGGCTGAATTGCGAAATGATATAAATCCAAGTCGGAAAGAGTAAACTCCAGAATAGAGTAAATCTTCAAGCTGGTACATTTAACATCCCTTTATCTTTTGAAACTTTCTCTATTTTCATCCACTTGGAAAAGTGCCGCGGCGTTTACAAAAAAAAAAAAAAAAAACCTTAACTAAAGTTTTGCTAGATAAAAGAATTATCTGTCGTAAAATTAAAAAAAAGCGGGAATTTTCGATGAAGCTGCATATGTCGCACAATGCTCTGGGATGAACACCCGCGCTGTTATGGACATTAAACCGCATCGAAGAGAGTCGAGGGACGAGAGTGCAAAAATACCACGAGGGAGAGAGAGAAAGAAAGAAAGAAAAGCAGTCTGCGGGGATCATCTTTTTCGAGAGACGCGTATCGTTAATTAAAATCTGTCGTCAGCGATGCGCGTCGTACGAAAACGCGCTGACGCGATAGGCCGAGCAAAGCGAGAAGAGGAACGGGATGAAAAATCGCGCTAACGAGGAGGAGAGATGGTGCTTTCGTTATTGGCTCTCGGTGCTGCGATACAAAGAACTATCGTTATTGAGACCGTGCCTGTCCTTCACAGAGAGATGCTGCGCGCGGAGCTTTATTCCGTTTTCAATAAAGCTCTTTTCGAGTCGATTCGACGTGTCGTTTAATCGTTAACGCGTGATAGTCTCTCTATATGATGAACGTTTCAATCGCATGCGTTATGCGAGCGGAATATATATGCGACATGTGCTCCGATAACTCGTTCATCAAACCGAGTTAATCCTATTTTTGTAAAATGGCCCGCACCGTTCGACATGTAGAAAACAATATTTCTTTCATTTCAGTTTATATAAAATTTTTGATATTTTAACGTAATTTAAAATTGTTTTCATTACTTATTTACAATTTATTCGGAAAAATGAAAGATTTGTTTTATTTCGATCATTATTTTTTCATCTCTCTCTGATGAAAACTTAATATTTTAAAAACATTACTGCAATTTTTACAAGAAAATATATATCTATTTTTAATAATAATATATTTATAATCAGGACCACTCTGTACCTATAAATTTCATATACGATGGCATCTCTGATCGCGATGCAGTTAGGCGATTATCTCGTAATCACGGGGATTAAGATCTATGAACAGTAACGCGAATATTGACAGTTGACGTTTATTCTGGCTCGATTGTAACGAGTACCGCGCTCGCGCAATTCGTAACAGCTGCGAATGTCAGATGTGAGGTACACGTCGCCGAGATGAGAGAGAAGCGTTCCAAGTCACGCACACCTGCCGCGTTTAATCCCCGTAATTTATATTGTGTCTCGTTATATACTCTGGTTAACGACCAACCTGTCGATCCATATGGCGAGTGTTTTTTGTTTCATCGATTTATACTCGCAATTGGTTTCGTCGCAAAAATCTCGCATTTGAAAAGCGTAAAGAAGCGCATTCAATATTTATCGGTCCTGATTATATTTATATAATAAATTCCCGTAAATAGAAGAAACTTCTATATGGTAATTAATATTCTTCCAAATAAAAATGATTCAACGTAAAGAATCGATCCATTTAATCTTTGCGGCCTCTTATAAAAATATAAGTATATAGATTAAGTCGCTTTAAAAACTATTTCGCTTTTCAAAAACCACTATAAAATATATTTTTATTTTGTAAATTCCTCCTCCATGTGTGTATATCATTCGATATACTTCTAAGGAAAGAAAATTCGTTTCATTAATTTTCCGGAACTCGTAAGAAAGTTGACGTGTGTCTCTTTTGCGGTGACCGATGCACTTCTGCGGTGACTTCTTCAACGACGTTGGAAATGTCGCGTCGTGTCGTTCAGACAGGTCCTCGTCGTTTGATATTGAGAAAAAGTTTCTCGTCTCGACTATATATATATATATATACATATATATATACATATACATTAAATGCGAAGAGGAATCGACGGCGTCTGCTTCTCGGAGATTCGCAACTCGAGATAAGTCGTCTCTTTCCTCCCTCTTGAAAGGACATCCCTCGCCGTTATGTGACATCGAGGACAATGGTGTCGCCAGGTGTCGGAAACGTCTCCGTCGTTCGCCACAGAGTTGATATCACGATAGCGTAGCACGCCCCAATTGTAATTGGACGGTGATTTGCGATGGAACGTGGTCTCGTCTCTCTCTCTCCCTTTCTCAGAGATAAGAAGTTACCGTCGTCTTTCACCCTTCACCTCGTCTCTGCGCGCAAATTACTTGAAGAAGCACCTAGAATGAAAAATTGTCTTTAGCATATATTTGCTTTCAACTTTATTTATTTATCATCCAGAGATATTTGTTTTCAGCAAGTTAAAAAATATTAATTAGTCTTTAGATGAGATATGCATATTAAAAATGTGAATATGAATTTCTGGCAAGAATTCTAGACACTTGAAAATATTTTTCATAGCAGTTTAATTCTACTGTTAGATAACTATTACTATTGTGTGTAGTCGTGGTTTTTTGAAACATGATAATTTTTAACAAAATAACTATAGTTAATTGAATTTTTCAAATGAGAAAAGATATTTGAGCTTTTTTTTAAGCGGATTGATAAATGGAAAAATATTTTGACAGTTAGTTCGAAACATGATTGTGAGAAAAACATCTCGAAAACAATAGAATCACGTGAATCCGTATTATAAACTGGAAAACTAAGCGAATTATAGACGACAACTTTCTTTAACTTATTTAATTATGCGAGAGATAAATCTTACTAGCGTTGATTTAGTACAATTTCCCAGAGAACTGTTCATCTAAAACGTAAATTAATTTTATTGTCTTTGCTGTTCTTATTTTCGTTAGATCATATATAGGATATAAATATATATATATTTATCCACGAATTCTTTTTAATCAAATTGAAACTTTACTTTTGTTCGACACGAGTGTCATCAACAGTTTTCAAGTTATTGTATAATCTTGTATAAAATAAGTTTGAAAAACTAAAATAGAAAAGGGGAAGCAATATAAAGTGCAACTTTTTTTAATTTAGAAAATAACATTGATTATTTCTTATTTCCCTGCGTAGAGTATAAAGAGTCACACGAGATTAGTGATTACAACACGAATGTGGAAACTTGTCTGTGTGAGTTTTACGCTATTTAGAGACTGATTCAGCTAAAATTTGCGCGTGGTGGCACTTTACACGTTGCATGTAGTTAGTGTTACGCGAATTGTGCAAAGAGAAATCTGCTGAATAATCTAGAATGGCTTTAACTGCCTAAATAAATTACATATTTCGCGCCATTAGATCCTGCACAAGTTGTTCGATTGAATTTAGACTTAATCCCCTTATGCAGCTGTAAACGATAGTAATATCGGATAATACCGGTAATTTTCGAGCCCCTCGATTGTTTGATTAGCTATGTTAATAATAACCAAATAATTCAGCAAATAATCTGGTCAATGAGGATTCGTGTCAAACGTTTTATCGTGTGCTTTGATTACAAGTTATTACGATAAATTTTAATTTTTAAAATATTAAT